TATCACCATGTGTTGGTTATAATAATTGCCGTTTTAGGATACAGTACATCCCCATTGTCCCATTGTGTTGACTTAGCAAACCTTTGGTTCCCAGCACTGATGATTCTCGTCGATCCAATCGGTCCTTCAAAATCGCGAGCTGGACCCTTGTGGTCTCAAGCTCTTTCTTTTGTTTCCGATTCGACGGCAAGCTGCACGATAACGAACTTTCCAATGATCACTTTCATTCTTATACACACCGCTAAGAAATGCGAAATTCTCACGTTGAAAAATTTCATCCTCGGCCGCCTCAGCCCCCATGGACTCTTCCTTGGGGCTCATGTCATCTTCAGACTTGCCACGATCGGCCTGGATGTCGTCCTCATTGATGATCTGAAGATATCCCTAAGTCAGTCGGAGTTCAAGCACCTCCCGGCGCATCTATCAAAAGAATAGGGGATATCCCCGTAGTCTTACCTACGTTCCATTATAGGTGTATGGACCCATTGATTGCTCAATGACAATTCTATAAAAAATGCTTGCAAGCAAATGTGCTAAAGAAAAAAAAACTGGTTTATGATTGGTGGGCAAATTTCTTGATTTTTGCAATTTTGTGTATAAGATTGTAAAGGCCTGGTATCGTTATCCGGGAATTCTGTCATGAAAAAGGCACCCTTACAGTATCGGATATCACTTTTCGACTGCTTGCCAAAGATCTAATCTCTGCTCACTATAGCTAGATTTGTTCCAAATCATTGCCCCAAATGTCAAAGAAAAAATGAAGATGATTAGTAAATCGCCACTTAAGTATTCCGACCCTCACAAATCCGGAAATCATCTCACCAACTGGTGAGCTCCAAGATGCACGGTCTCGATCAAAGTCAAGGTCCTTCTTCGTGGCCCCCAGCTCCCGAGCTTCCGTCATAGTCTTCGCCTTCTTGTATTTCTCGTACTGCTCGTAGGCTCGAGTCTTCGGCTTCTTCGGGTTGTCCACCTGAAAGAAGATCTTCCGATCATCCGCGGCAAACCAACGATCTGAAATCTCAAGTGAGAAGTGATTTACATGAAAAATGAAATCCTGGAAAAAAAAAACGCATTGTTTAAATTCACTTCTAAGATGATGTTAATGTAAAAATCCTGCATTAATCTGTGATCATGCTCCAATTTTTCTGCATCCTCCTGACCGAAAATGCTGCCAAGCCAATCGTTCCAAATTTATGGCATGCAGTCAAACTTTCCATTTACCATTCTCTTCTGCCAAACTTTTTTGGAGCTCCCCAGTTCCATTTTGGGTACCCCAGCTATTGATTATGTTCCCAGGTTGCCCTCTTTAGGATAAGAGATGTGGGAAGACCATCGGAGGCCCAAAACATAAGCCACAAAAATACAGATTCAGTTGATGTCAATGACCGATATGCAAGGGATTGATTTTGTTGCAAAAATCAAGGCCCGGTGAGGCTGAGAATGTTTAAGAGTTATTTAGAGTGACTTAGAGTGATTTAGAGAGATTTAGAGAAGGGATATATGTAAGGACATATATGCCAAATGGATAGGGGTCAGATCGGAATACCAGAACTTGGAGGCTAAACCTCGAGTGGAAGGTGGTCACGTGTAACGTGTCACCTCAGTTCCCTATGATTACTTGAATTGATATCTATTTCCAGAACCCCCCTATGTGATCATTGTATTGGCTATGAAGCTTGGAGCAGCCCCGATTCAAGTCATGGTCTTGCAATCGCACCACAGGAGTTTGGGGACCTGGACATGAAATATCAGGTACCGGGGCTTGGTTTAACCATAGCTCTTGGATTCCTGATGGGTGTCCATTTTCCGCTCAAGGCGCTCCAGTTGTGATTCAATGGATTGGAGTCTGACATTCATCTGACTGAAACCCGTAGCATTTGATGTCTCATGTGATTGCTCTTTCTGAACCTGACCCAAGTGAGCCTGAAATTGTTCCCTCAGAAGTTGGTTCTCCCTTTGGGATAACTCCAACAAATGCTGTAGGCGCTGGACTTCGGCAACGGCCCCCAATGTCGTGGCTTGCGCTTGCGTCGTTTCGACTCTTGCATTTGCCGCTGCTTGAACTGCTTCGGCTCTAAGGTCTGATGCAGCTGAGATTGCGGCCTCGCTAAGCCCTGCGACCTCTTGAGTCGCTTGCGCTCTAAGTTCCGCACTTGCAGCTGCAACAGTCATGTTGGTCAACAACTCTGGATTCACCCCATGAGTATGGTGTTCCACACCCACAGATCGCTGATCAAAGTTGACTGATCTTTGGTCATAGTTCAAGGTTTGATCTCCCCTTAATTGATTCATCCCATCCCCTGGCTCCATACCTACATCCCCCGAATGTTGACTCATGTCAATCAATGATGGCATGCTCCCCCCACTAGATGGTGAACCGACCACTTGTTGGTCTCGCATCCCTGCGGAATGTTCCCCAAGTAAAGGACTCCAACCCCTTACTGGCCTAGGGGGGTAAGGACCCGGACGTTGCTTCCTAGGTGCAGAATTTGATTCACTAGAAGAATCCCTGCCAGCAACTACTGATGGTAAACCACTTGGTCCCGAGCTCACTAGTTAGTTGAAAGGATGTTGAGCTTGACCCTTCACCTTCCATAAAACAAGCTCAAAGGTTCAGGATTCACAGCGGAACTCCCGCGCTGGGTAAGCAGTGGCCTAAACCTGAATTTGACCTGAAAATCCCTGGGCCAAACGGGGAAGACACGAGGCGCCAAACGTCTCCTAGCAACCTCTCACAAAGCTTGGGAAAGGTTTTCTCTTGTGATGGATTGCGAAGGTTCGGGTTTACCAAAATGCAATCCAATCCCTATTCCAAAGAAGCCTAGCAAGATCCAACCTGCCGTCGATGTGAATAGACACCTGGTTTGGGTTCAATTCGGGCTTGCTACGGTCTGGGGCGATATGGATGCTCAAGTCACAATTAAATGTTTCGTTGAAATTGCGAACTTCCTCCGATGCTTCACGACGTCGCCTTTGGCTTTTGTACCCGTGTTCACCAATGTATGTTGCTACACCTGCCTGATGTCTGTGGTCAGAATGTAACCAATTTGGCACGGCCGACTTAGCTATCTCGTTCCACCTACCTTCTACAGGCGAATTAAGGTCGAAGACACCGTGCAAATCAACACTGATTCTAACAGTTGCGTTTTCAAGGTTTGGCGGAGAAGGGGTTACCACTGGAAACCCTGTCACCTGAGGTCACCTGAGGCCCCAAAAGGGTAGATGGATCCGAGATCCTGAGTCCTTGGGAAACTGCAGCCTTAGCTTTCGGGATTTCTTCGTCAACGGGAACAATGGATTTTCTTTTTCCCTGCAAAACCAAAGTCTTTGGGGTTTCCGGGGTCGCAATGGGTTCAAATTCCTCAAGTTGCTGCTTGCTTTCAAGTGGCGCTTTAGGAAACTCGGTGTTTGGGGGTGGATCAGCAACAAGTGAACGAACCCTGCTACTTGATGATGATGCCTGTTCCTTTGCAACTGGAGGCGGACCAACAGGTTCTGGAACTGTTACTTTAGTCGCCGGCCCTACTTGCACTAGAACTAGTCCACGCAGCTTCTGGTTCACCAAGTGACTCTGGAAAAATGCTAGGACTGGCTTTTGACACCGATTGTTCCAACGCAACACGAGCAACCACTACCTCCAACCTTTTGCGCGAAGTTTCAGTAGTAGGTTCAGATCTGGGGTGGTGTTGTCCCTTCACAGTTGCTTCTGTAAGCTCTTTACTCTTAGCAGTCTTTTTACCCCCTCGCTCTTTCCTTGGCATATGCCAACCCCCAGCCACCAAATGACAAGGATCGGCGCAGCCGCGGCTCAGCAGCTGCAAGGAAGCAAAAGAGGCAACGACGCTGGCAGCAACGCGAAAATGGCAAGGAAAAGGACGCGAGCCGAACGCGAGGAGAGAAGGAGAGACAAAGAAGAGCGTGCGGCTGATAACCACGATTTTAGCGGTTTCAGCTTGAGCCAAACCCCATTGGGTTGGCAATATGGTTGCTTTAAGTGAAAAAGGGTGAAAACCACTTCGTTTCTCTGTTAGTAGTAACTATGCTGATGTGACTTAATCCCTTATCAAGGAAACCAGCTTTTTCAGTTAAGGTTGTGCCAAGTATTCGCATCCATTCCATCGGCCTTTGTGGCTTCTGAGATGCCAGCGCTTGAGGCCAGCCAGAATGTTTGAAGATTTCCAAGCCACCAACTGATTTGGGGTGTTTTGCATTACACAAGTTATCATCAAATGGTGGGTCTGTCAACCAACACACTAGAGAGAATGCCGGCAGGCTCAAACTTATGAAGGTCAAGATGCACCAGCTTCTTCAATGCATATCATGCCGCCGTACCATCTTGTTGATGTTTTTACAGAAAATGCAATGAACAATCCAAAATGAACTCGAAATCTGAGGTTGAAAAAGCATGCCTTTCGATGAAGAGCTTTGTGGATGAGTAGAAAAAGAAACCGTCCATGTTTGAGCGTGATTGGTAGGGGGGGTCATCTGCGAAATGGTCTCCCCGAGCACTATGGTCAAATGGTCTTTCCGAGACAAACCTTTTTTAAAATAGTCTTTGTAAGGCTAGGGTATATATGTGTGAATATCATATTAATATATTATTATGTATATGTATAATTATATATTTCATCCTGGTCTCCAGAATCTGTTCCTACCGCTGTCGTATCAGTCCCTTCTGTTCCTGATGATCACTGGGTTCAAAGTACCATTTCTAACTGGATTGTTCCAGGCCAAGTTTGGTGCCGGTTTCTCCGGTTTTGTCTGAAAAAGTAGCCCAAAATCTCATCGTTTCATCATCAATTCCCCCATGAATCATTGAAGAAAACTGAATAAAGATGTTCCCATCATTTCCCATCAAAGCACGCTAAAACACACTAAAACATATTTAACGTGTTTGTTGATCAGAAAATTCGGAAGCCGCTGGATCTGCCTCCATGACGTCACGGAAGTCACGGAAGTCGCAACTGCATCGCTCCAGTGCTCAGTTGGCCTTGCCTTTAGGATGTACCGTATGGGAAGCAATCCTCCAGGCCTCAGAGAACAACACTGAACAACTGAAATATGTGCAATATTATACACTATATAATACTATATATCACTAAATAATATACTACATTATAAAATATCATAAATCACTAACTATTATACAATACAAATAATTACACCTTGTTTGCCAACATGTTTCTGCAACATTAAAGATGAATGAAATACCTTCAAAAGCAACCAATGTTGTTGTTCTTTATTTTGTAACTATTTCTGTTGCGTGAGATATATTCGGAAGCACCAAGTCAATTCCATCCCAGTCCGAGATGTTTGCTGAATCTGGCCACCGGAAGGGCCGGTGAAGTGGGCGAGTGCAATTGCTGGTTGGTGCTTTCAATCCCCCTGAAAAATCTGATCGAGAATTACTACCCCAAATATTGGGTGGAAAACATCAAACAAACGTTTTGAAGATATTTCTGCACTGTTTCAAACATCTTCAAAATTTGCCAACCATCGCCAAGCTTTATTGTAAAAAAAGCCAGGCTCCCGCCCTCCTCTGGGCTCACCAGGCCCATAGCCCCCGTCCAGATCGGTGCTGAGCAAACGTTTTTTGAATTCTCCTCGATGAGCGCTCGACACGCCAACTGGCCGGGAGAAGAATTCACAGGGACGCTTCAAAACGCCGATGGATGTTGCCTGCATATTGATGTTGATGATAATGATTTCCGAGAAATGCCGTATTAGATCGGAAATTTACGAAAGCATGAACCATTGCAGTCCAGTGTGTCGTTGTTCATTGTTTTCTAGAAAGCCTTCAAATCTTTGTTACAGCGAACCTGACAAACCAGTACCCCGCTGCCTTCAGATCAGAGAGGTGTGGAGGCAAAACAGTTTGCCTCGGGGCTTGGGTTGATCCCCTGCAACATGCACCCCGAGGAAGGACTGGCGTTTTTGATAAGGAAGTCTGTTTGGTTCTTCCCCCAGTTCCACTGATGGAAGCATTTCTGTTTCTTAGCGGAATAGGAACATGGAGCCATTATGAGAAAAGCATGAAAAGCAATGGTGTTGGTGTCGAAGCTAAAATCTACTCCAAACATCTCAAGACTAAATGCGCATGAGATTAGCATAGCAAGGGTGTGCTTTCCCTCACATTCAGGATCTCTTATCCATCCGACCTCTTGAAGGCACTCCGCAACTGAAACTCATCTTTTTTTGGTCACCCGTGTTCATCCAAATGAAATAAATGGTCATATAGTGTCACATGAGGATTCCCAGCTGTTGGGACCCAGCTGACAAGCCATTTCTGAGGTGTCCACCCACACATCTTATAGAGCCAAACGAAGGCCAATGAGAGGCACCTTAGCATCGTTGAATACAAAGTCACCTTATCTTATGATCATTAGTCTTAGGTCATTATATGTTTGTTGCGAAAGTACTTGATGATAGAAATGATGGGTTCCTAGCCGAAACGGCATCATATGCATCATTCTGTTTGGGATTGAGCCACGGACAAGTAAAAGAAGGATCGCTTGAAGGCAGCAAATTCCTTGGCCCTGGCAGTGTTGCTGAGAATCACCCACTTCGGCCAGATCAATACACTAAAAAGTCGTCAAAAATAGTCACATTTGGATCCTCGAAGTCTCCCCAAAGCATCATACAACAAGCATCAACAAGCCATCTTCGCATCGTGCACAGCCTGCCGTCACCTGCCTGTTAGATCCCGGTTGTTTCTTCTTGTAGAGGACGAAATTGATATCAGCCACTTGTTGCCTGCATGTTGAGTGGATGTTCATGGATGTTCCAAATCAACTTGTTAAGTTTCAGTGAATTGCCCAGGATGCCTGAGCTGGCCGTTGGTATCTTGTATCTTTCAGTCGTTGCCATCTTTCTGGTGTCACCACAGCATGCGTGATACTATCCAAGGTGTTGCCCTCCGTTTGCCCAAAATTCGGATCAACATGGCCCATACTCCACGAAACTTCCTGGGAGCTCACTGGTATTTTTAACAGCGTTGGTGATTATCCCTGAATGATGAATCCCCAATGGTGTCGACACCCATAAATTCCAAGTGCATGGAATCTCCATGAGTTTCACCGATTCAGGGCCTGGACGTTGATTTTATAGCACCAAGCCCTTGCAGTGGCACATCCCGCACCTATGACCCACTGGTAGCAGGGTTTCGTACAAGGCTTCGTCAATCCCCGTCACCTTGGATTGACCATCGAACCAGCCAGACAAGCGAAGTGGAATGCTTTCATAACTCTCTTGCGATGGCTTTTTGGGGGGTCTGGCATGGTATGGCTTGCGAGTGCCTCCTAGACATTTGCCGCCAATGCACTACCAGGTTTGAAAGGATCTTGTCATAGTTCAATTATCATCCAATGGCTTCAAAGCATCCATCTCAATCCACCTGTCAACAAACACGTCCCTCAGCCACTAGCGTTTTGCCGCTGCTTCGCTCCAGACCAGACAGGAGATGCTGAGGCCCAAACAAACTCCATTGCGATGCTATTCATCACCTCATGTAGAAAAGAGTCGAAACCCAGAAAGCTGCTGTGTATCCTCCAGTAACAGCAACTCAAGCTGGTTAGCCCGAAAATCACCCATTTAGATCCATTTAGTTTGATGTTCATATTCACTGCATTTTCATATATCTCTATATATATATATATATGTATATCTATATATTATGTGTACATATCTTAGGTAGTTTGATGAGTATTTCCAATATTTTCCCACATATGTCCCATATAAATCCATATTTTTCATATCTGTTGCCCCAGGGTTGGGACCCTGGGATCTGCCCCTCCGAGGCACCAGATCTGTGAAGGAGTTTGTGGCGGTGAGCCATTGACAACCCAGCCACATCCTCGGGACCCAACAGCTTCAACCACCCAAAATATATGTGTCCTCAAGGCCCAAGGGAAACAAAATATATCTCAGTTCTGACTCAGTTCTGGTTGTTTTTGTTTTTTTTTGACGAGATGAAACCAGCAACAAGCAGTGTGTTGGCCCTTCCAATCTTTCTTTCAAGATGCAGAATTACACAAGCAGTTCAGTTCGCATGAGCAACGAACAACACACTGGGGAGCCGACAATGTGCTACAAATCACCATCTTTGGAATGATGACCCCAAAAAAGATCCTGGGCAAAGCACAATGCCCCTAGATTTGAAGGTTCATAGGCAGCTCGGTTCCACCAGTGGAGTCTGGGATTGTCTGCACTCTTGAGCAGGTTGAAGAGTTGCAAAATGTCAAAAGGTTCCAGCTTTGAATTTTGAATCAAAGCACATGGTGCCAAAAATGTGTAGAAAACCGCAGGAAGAACTGCTCATCAGACAACCCAAGACTTGGCCTAAATACCTCAGTAGCCAAGTGGCAATATGATATGCAATTCAAAAAAATATACGTTGACATCTTCTTGCAAGCCCTTGGATCATGGATTGTCTGTACCTTTTACAGATAGTATAATATTAATATAGTGTATACACAGTATATAAGTATATATTGAATATATATAATATACATGCATTGAATATTATATATATGTATATATTGAATATACATTGAATACGCATATTATATATAGAGTATAAATATGTATATATATATATATTGATTATTTAAATAATGTACTGGATAGTTTGTGTATATATACTATTATACATAGATGTATTTCTGTATACGTTTCTGTACATCAACCGATGGCTGCAAATCCATGCTGTCTGGACAAGTGGCAACATCTTTGAGCAAGAAGTCAATGCCACAACCTGGCGATGGGCTTTCCGCCACCCTGTCATCTTGCCGAATTACATGGGAAGTGACTGAAGGTAAAGCAGTAAAGCTGGTGCTCAGTTGGTCCTGGTGCTGGTCCTGTTGGGTCAGTTCACCAAACACCTCAACTATCCTCACCTTCTGTTGCTCATGGAGAATTATCCATCAATCATATTCATCATGATCATCATGATCATGATGATCATCATGATCATTGCTATGGTTGCTGAAGAATCATAGGAATTTTCATACCAATGATTTATTTTTGGATTGCTGATGGATCCATCATCCCCAGCACCGCGGAATCAGCGCTGCGCCGCTGCGCCTTCACCTCGCCCTCTTCTTCCGTACACATCTCGGGACTCGTGCTGCACGTTGGCATGCTGGCGAGATCCTGCACCGTTTGAAACATGACCATTTTGTTTATGGGGTAATGAGGGGATACCCCGTTTTCAAACACACCCAGGATGAATGTATATGAACATATTATGACAATGACGGTTCTTCTAGTTCATACTCTAGAATCTAGAAGATGTAGAGTGATGTCTTGAAAGGTACATGCTTATGTAGATCCAGGTCGGCTGTACAATCATGACGATGTGGTCTCAGAGTAGTAGTGAGCATTGTATATTTTCCAGTTCAGTTGGATATGTGATGTATACTCACAGGCTTGCTGGAATCTCCCTACATTGAGCAACACTTGATGGTGCAGGGCAGTCCAGGTTGCGATTGCAATCTGAGGGTAGAAATGTTCCACCAAATACCTGCCCTGGCTTTGCATACACTGGCTTTGCATACACAAAGCCTGAGGTGACTGGAATATTATATACATTTATAACTTATATACTGTAACTGTATTGGAATTTTCTGCAGGGTAGGAACATGCGCCAACCCAAACCACGGCTTGTCAGCTGTGCCCACGAACATCCATCGGAGTCCCGAGCCAGTCTCTCAGTGGTCCGAAACTCTCGGATGATCAGCAACACCTCTGGGCACAGCAGAGACTCCAACAGCAATGCCACGAATCCTGCATAAAAAATCCTTCATCTCAGCCATCTCAGCCCCTGAGATCTCGCGTCACAAGATCTGCTAAGGTTCCTGGCCCACAAGAAAACGACCGTGAAATAGAAGAAAGGGCTTGACATCCCAATCTGACCTCAGAAGCGCAAATCAGGTATTCTCCCTCACATAGGACAAAAAGATATGGAATTGGTCCAAAGTTGGATCACTCGATGCCCAAAGATAATTACTGTTAGACAAGTTACAACAATATCCTAATTTACATTGTGCCATTGGCACGTTTGTCATCGCATTTTCGCGCAAGACCCACAGAGCGAACCCATACTGGTTGTTCCCAAAAATCAAGTGGATTGTGGCCCAAGTTACAAGACATCATAGGCATCTACAATGTGTTGCAACCAAATTAAGCCCATCACACAGCTCTTCTTTGCCTGCAGCACTTCGAAATGGCGGAGTGGATAAAGTCAAACAATGAGTTCCATCTTGGTGCAGTTTGAAAGCCTTGTCAGTAAGACCAAGTTTAACTAAAAACCATAATAACAAAAAAGATCAAAAAAGAACATATAGAATCGATGTAATAGCTTTTTGACCACGACGATAACCATATAGTAACCATATCTATCCTCAAATCGCATTGCTATCATCTTCCGTCAGCCTCGACCTGCATCAGCAGCCTGTCAGCCCAGCACCATCCAGCACCCGGCCTTTGTATGCATCCCACGCGTCTTCTTGAAAGTTGCCATCGATGTCAAAAATGACTTCCTAAGTTGGTGATCACAGCTGCCATTTGGCAACTGGAAGAAGTCACAAAGGGCCGCTACGACCAAAAACATGGATGGTTTAGCGCAGTATGGCGATATTCATAAAGTCGCTACATAGAAAGTGCTGTGGATGTGACAAACTAAAGCCTTTGTGGAACTTCGACAGAAGTTGTGAGCAAGTTGAGGTTGTAACAAACTGAGGTCCTCGCAAAGGACAAGTCAAACATAGTCAGACACGAACATACAACAGAATTCAGGTGCTCCTACATGCTTGCGCGAAGCTGTCACATTCAGGGTTGGTGCTTATTCTTTCTTTCTGTTTTTCTAGTTGCTTCACTGTAACTTAAGGCTCAGAGGGAGTGGACGCAAGCCAATACCAACAAAGCCTAGACATGTGAGATGAGATGCTGGGAGTTAGAGCAATCCTTGCAAGTCATCAGCTTTGAAAATCATCTGGAACTGCAAGACTAGAAGAGAGAAAACATGGAAACACTTGTGAAAGAAGTGGGGAAATTGGATGAATGAGAAAGTGGAAAGGCGGCACTATTGAAAATTGATGTTGCTGCCGTCTTTCATGCTGGAGGGGAGGGGGGTTCTTGTGATAAATCATGATAAATCATATTAGTGTGGCCCTCCTTTGGATAACCTGCCAGGACATGCTCTAGAGAAAATTGGCATAACGGAGAAAAGTAGGAGAGCCCTCAAAACACCAGAAGGAAAAAGATATATATCATCATAGAACGGTTTCCTTCCTGCCACTCGTTCTTTCCCAAGGGATCCAAGGGTCGTGAAACTCTTGGTACTTGTGCTGGACTCTGTGGATAGCCGGAGTGACCTCAGGAATCTGCACGAATGCAATTTTGGTCGCGAAATTGTTATCATGTGTACTACATGTACTACATATTCAAATGTGTCTGAAATGGGGTACAACAGTATACCGACAGTATACCCCCAAAATGATCCAACATGTTTTTTTTTTATTGGAGCCATGATCACAATGATGCTCAACCATCAAACTCAGGGGTGCCCTGGTTTCGGCCAAACCCATCGTGACACCAGTTGTGACGACTGATATGAAAGTCAGTGGACCCATTGACCTTCTGCTGAGAAGTCATGTTTCTTTCCACGAAAATCTAGCAATGAAACTAGCTGTGAAGGTACATACATCATCATACATCCCATTCTAATAACTACAGTATCCGTATTCTCTTGTCACAGTTTCGCATCATGAAAATTTCAAAGGGGGATGTCCATCAAATGTCTTTGAGATCTCTTTGCAATGAATTCATCTGAAATCTGAACAGGAGTCGCTTGAGACACCTGCCAAAAAAAACTGTAGACACTGGTTTCTCAAAGGATTTTGGTTCTAGAACGCTCATGGCAATTTGGGAGATCCCCTGCAAAAATCTGGGCTGCGTTGCCACAAATGTGTAAATGAAGAAGAGCAGCGATAGCCTGTTGGGCACCCAGCCCCAAGGGGTGCCATTTGGGGTGCCAGGGATAACTTCTACTGTACAGTAGCTTCTTTCCAGACAGAACTTTCTTTGATCTGCCCTTGGTGTTGAGACTGACAGCAACAAAATGCAACAAAATCGCACTTTGATCCACTTTGTACATGCAACTTGCTGGGTGCCACTGCCACTTTCCCAAAATCTGACCATGACCAACCTCGCTGCCCTGGGAATCCTTTGCAAAAACTGGTATCTGGAGCCCCTGTTCGGACTCTTTTTCTTAGGCTATGTTCTTTCAAAGTACAAAGCTTGAAGTTTGCCATTATCGCCGTGCAGCATTACAAAACAACAGTGGAAAAGCAAGAAGCTCGTCTTTGTAAACATGCATATGATTGATGCCATGTTATGCATGTTGAAGGTGTGTGTATATATATTTATATATATATATAATTGAATATGTTCACCCTGACTTGTGAAGCAAACCAGCGGAGCTTTGAGCTGGGCCACTGCAAGGTGAGGTTGATGGTCAGCAGGAGGAAGGAAAACCCTACCTCTCGCAGCCCAGATGGGTGGCTGGGGACGGGCCAATGGTGGGCTCACTTCGAAACTGGTTGCCTTGTGAATTTCCATTAGACGAGTTTCTTTACACCTTCAAGACTACAAGTCAAAATCATTTCATCTAACTCCTCCTCTTGGCTCCTCTTGCTGCCACACTGGTTCATTTGAATTTGTTGAGGACCTGCATCAACTTTCGGCCTGTATGCACTTGAGCTGAACGGTTTCATCTTTCCAGTCTTTGCCTTCAGCAATGTCCAGTTGCAACACGACTGCTGGAAACCGGAAGAGATTCAGAGGCTACCAAACAGGAACCAACCAAAAGAATCCGTGTGAACATGGCACTTGCCAACCATGTCTACTTGTGCTGCAAATAGAGACAGCATATCTACAGTTTCAATGCTGGCAGCAGCCACTGAGCCGATGTGCTAGTTCATTTTGTCTCTAGACACTTTTGTCAGGGCTATTTAGGTTTGATGGATGTGCACATCCAGTAATGCAGTCAAAAGGAAGCACATTGCAAGGTACATCAGGTGCAAAACCCACATCCGCTATGACTCCACATCATTCAAGATGATCCTTCTTCTAATAACAAATTACACCAAATTACTATGAAATGAACAATGCATGAATGTCCACTATATCTTGGTGCCTTGTAGGGAAGCCCGATTAAAAGCCCGGCGCCTCCACTAATGACTGAGAAGTCACGAACCTCAGGGAGGCCAAGTCATCGTCGTCATCATCACAATAATTATATAGGATGATGATGATGATGATGATGATGATAGTAGTAATAGTAATAATAGTAATAATAATAAGATTTATAACAATACTACAGTATACAATACTGGTGAAAACAATGAGAATCATGATATGGTAACTGTCATTATTAAGAAACAAGTGTTCCGTCAATTTGCATATCATTGTCCCATCAAAGCCAATCTTCTGCCGACTTCTGTGGTTTCTGATGGTGGCCTCCATTGACAAGTTGTGACACCCCAACACCTTCCACTGTCCCAGCAACGACAGCAAGAATGCTGGCTCCATACGCGTCCTGGATAGACAAGTGGTGTGCGACGCATGCAGCATTCTTAATGGGTCAAAACATGTCAAAACCTACTACAAAACCATAAAAACCATTAAAAAAAACATAAATAATGTTCCCATCCATAAATATATATATATCTGCAAATCATAAAAGAATCATATTGAAATCGTTCAAAAAAACTGCCAAAAACGGCATCCTAAAGGATTTAAGAAGTCTCTATACTACAACACACCAGAAATCACCAGAAACACACACCGGCACCTTGAACAAATAGACCTTGAAATAAAATGTGTTCTACACAGATTCTAATGCGCTTTATAGCTCGGATAGGTGAATGCTCTGACATGACGCTTGGTTGAACCAAGTGACAACTTGATGGCCAATCCGGACATGCCTAAAGAAATATGGTGGTGTGATTCTCTGGCATCTCTGGCATCTCCGGCATCTCTGGCATCTCTGGCATCTCTGGCATCTCTGGCATCATAGAATGAGTGCATATGTTTGTCTTGTGCAGCATCTGATCGAACGCTGATGCAAAACCCAGGATTAATCACAAGCTAACACATTTAACACTCACAATTACTGTTTTGAATCGACTTCCGCGAGGGTTCAAGTCTAGCTTTATTTTGCCTTATTGACACTATACCCCTAATTATCCACCAAATCACCCACCAATTACACCTAATCACAGTTCAGTTTGGTATACACCTAATTACACTTTAATACACCCAATTACCCACCAAAACTGAAAGTTACGAACTGAGTGTAACCGCCGTGTCCTCAGGGATGTCGAACTGGACTTCCTCAAGCTCGCCTGAATCTCCAGTCAAAGGCATCTCCGTATCTGACATCGTCCTCAGGGCTGGCCGGCTGGCCTGGTACTATTGACCCAATGGGAATCTAGCCATTGAACCACCCCTGCAGTGTTAGATTGCTTTGTAATCCTTATAATTTTTATATATCTTTATATCGTAATTATATGTAATTATCACATTGCCAGGTTAGATTGCGAAACAGCTCCGAACAGCACAGACTGAACCGTCTTCAACGGGATCGAGACGTCTGCCGCTTAAGCTGAAAGTTACGCTTCAAAATTCAATCAACAAAATTGGAAGCCAAATTCTACAGGTAGAATCAAGTAGAATCAAGTAGAATCTAGTAGATAATGTCTTTGTTTTGCAAAGCGGGCGCTTTGCTTTCAAGCCGCTACGAACTGCACTAGGTACACTAAGCTATGTGTTGTAGGCACACGCTCCCTCTGCGAAAAGACGCCTAACAAGACATCAAACATCATCAAACCGTCTAATTCGCTAGCATCCAACGGCAGCTGTAGTTGCTGCTCAGAAACTGATGCTGACTTTCACTGGAATGCGGAACCGCTAGACTCCTGGCAACACGAAGCGATGCTTTGATGTTTTAGCGTGGTAAACCCAATGCGATAAACTATCAACCTCCCATTTGCGGATGGTTTATACCACCCATTTGTGGTAAAACTGGGGATGGGTAATTATTGGGCTTACCATGGTTTCACATATTATGTCCTTTTATCCCTAACTTTGCTCCACTTTGAACTTGTGATCCAACATCCTTCACCTTGGTTGGCAGAACTGGTCCAGGCGTGTTTCGGAAAACTGTGTTCGAGAATCGCCCTTTACTTTCCGACAAATCACAAATAGCAAACATTGGTGCAAACCAATGCAAACCAATGGAAACCAATGGAATCACAATCGCCCTTTAGATCCTCCAATTGACAAATCCAAGTGCCAATCTCGAAGCATGGGACCATGGGATGAACAACTCGTTGTCCAGTTACTCTAATGCGATGTGGAGAACGCCAGCATACGCCAGCTACTCAGCCATGACAATGTCATGCCTATGTCATGCGTCAAATTTCGTGCAGATTCCACCCACACTTTTGCCAGAATTTCGCCCGTTGAATCCACTGATTTGCCTGGAGTCGCTCCGTGGATCTTTCATCATCGGGTTGAGGCCACCCAGCCTGGCATAGGGATCAGCGGCGAAACTTGGAATTGGTGTCCGAGTGTCCCAATTCCGTGGGATATATGATATAATAATATAATTAGATTTATATCATTGTAATTCATTATATATCATTATATGAAGTTATGTATGAATATGTATGATATGATATGATATGTATATGTATATATATATACAAAGTTATATTACAGTATGTCATGAAGTTATAAGTATGACTAAGTATGCAATATAGATGCATCAACTCTAGTGCGCAAAGCTTATGATATTCACGGTGACCAAGTGAAAATCTAGAAAAAACGAGTTTTGAAGGCACCGTTACAACATCCATCAAAAGCTGATGCGGATGGAGCCACACCCAGCCTCTGCAACTGCGATTGCAGCACGGAAGCAGCACTTGCGTTGTGGCACAAAAAAAGGGATAGGTTTGTCCTGATACTATCGAGTCATATCGAGTCCAGCAAGTGACAGTTTGGGCTATGGACAATGCAAAGCCACGTCAGCTGCAGCTGTTGGATGCTGAGCTGTTCAAGAAAGTTTAAGTGAAGTTGGCTGTGAAGCATCTATTCCAAGCTGCTGACTAGAATGACTAGAAATGCAACTGCACGGCAACTATCTTCGGGGTCTGACCAGAATCATCTGCCATCATCTGCCACATGGGCGACCCATTTGTTGACGAACTTTGAGCCGACATCAAAGCAGCGGCATGGCCATGACTGCCAAGCAACTGCACTGCGATCCATGTCATTCCTACACACACAGTACTAGTATAGGTGGAGCTGGGTTCAACTTGGATACCCAAAAACATCCAAAAACTATCTGTGTTGATACCATAAATCTGGGCAAATTATAATAATTCACTAACCTGAAATAAGGCTATCTTGGGGATGGTTCCCCTTACTAACCATTATTCCAGTGAGGTCGCAGTGAGGTCGTTATAATTTACCCAGATAAATGACCCAGGGCTATCCAAGTCTATGGCTTTGGGAGCTCATGGGGCTTCTGCCTTCATTTCCCGAGACACCAGGCCTGATCGCCACGCAGAGCCTCCTGGCCTCACAGCTGAACCATCACCAATAATCCAGGTGGATAGTAAGCCATACTGATTCCATGGATGATTCCATGGATGATTCCATTGGAATGGGATATCATTGAGATATCTACTGTATGGAGATATGGCTATGGATCAATACCTATACATACCATTTTTAGGGGGATGAACATCCATAAATCCCAGCTATTTTGATGTGAACTACAGGGGGATAGGGTTTTGACCCATCCCCATATCCCGATGAAATCCGGTGCACAACTTCTGGAGGGGAATCCCCAAGCTCTCCGCCGCCTGCTTTGGCAAGAGCCGTGAGAGTCCTTGGCAAAGCAGGCAATGGCTGCCATGCCACCGATGATTAGGGGTAGCACCATTTTAGGAAGCCTCCATATGGTCCATATTACGTATGTATATGTATATGATTAATATATAATTAATTATCCATATATATATATGTATAATTAATATATAATTATACATATATATATATATGGATTAGCATGATATTCCAGAGTGTTGTTGCCAGTCAATCAAGAAAAACAACTGTTTATTGTAGGGAAAATTACCATCAAAACAGATGTACAATATATTCATAAGGCAAGTGCATGTCCCGTCAAGAGAACCCCACCTGTTGTGATATTGACATGGTCCCCATTTCCAGAGCGACAAGCCCATGCCAAGCCCTGCAGTCTCAGGTGCGGTGTGCTCACTCCAATTGCTCGATGCAACCTTTGCAGTGAAGCTGCTGTGCAGTTACCACCATCCAACAAATCATAACAAACCTATACGAATCTTCAGAGACGTCCGAGCACAGATAGCACAGTGGTAGCTGGTTCAAAATCCCATTGATTGCCATCAAAGGGGACTTCCATTGATGGTACCCATGGGTTTTGCTCGCCTATAATCCTCCATCAATTGTTTTATTCAGGTTTTGCAACACTAAAATAGTTGGTCACCCCGCTTTCCACGTTGTCGGTAAATCCTCCTTACACACAGCACAATAAGGACATGTAGCTCATCAATATAGCTCATCAATATAGCACCATAAATGAGCAGCTTACGACTTACACCTATTTATCCACAAAATATTCATCAATATCCCATACTATTCATCAATCCATATCATATCCCCATCTCTCATCCATCATGTCAACCCATGACTCCCACGCCACGCCACTCCGCCGCGGCGGCCAACAGCTCCACCGCATCGCCGCCGTTCAGCGCCGACGCTTCCAGTGACAGCTGCAGCGCTGCGCGCAGCTGCGCCAGCAGCGGCAGCAGCGCGGCACGGCGCTTGGGCGCCAGGGCGCCGTGGCAAAGCGAGGCCACGGCCCTGCAGTGGGTCTGTTTGGTTTAAAAATGGGAAGAGGTGAGGAATTGGAGTTAAGATGACTGACTTTGAGGAAAATTGATGTGAAACGATGGAAATGGATAGAGTGAAAAAAGAGATGAGACTGGATTGGATGATTCATAGATTGGTGGTATTGGGAAAGTGATCCGAACAGAATGGAATAAAATGAACAAAGTAGATACTTTGAAGGAGTTCTTCAATGTTTAACAGTTGATCGAATTACGTGACCGTGATAATTGGTTGCCAGCGCCTGGCATTTGGCACGTGTTGCAGCTCGCGCCGCTGTATGGTTTCCGTCAGGCTAGCAACAAGGCGACAAAGGGCAGTGCCCTTCGTAGCATGGAGAAGGTGGTAGTCCTTTTGCAGCGGCATGGGAGCTTTAGACGCGCAAAAATATGTATATATATGTAGATATGATTATAGATGTCATGTATAATATGTGATTAGCACGTATGTTTATACGTGTGCATTAACATGAAGTGTATATCATCGAACATAATGGAATATATACATATATATAATATAATATAATATATATATATATATAATATATATATATATAATATAGATATATACATAGAGTATGGTGACACTTCGCATGGCTCACTCGATGGCTGTCCTCCGTGTTTCGGAAGAGTTTGGCCATCTCCGTGGCTGGCAACTCCTGTGCGACGGGCGGGCGTCGTCGACGCAGTCGACTCCCAGGTCCGGTATACAGTATCCAATCACAGTAGGTCCCGTGAGTACCAAGAACATCCCAGATATCATAATTAGGATGTGTAAGGATAATATAATGGATTTAGGATGTATCCTTATTTTATTAGGATAATTAGGATGGATTAACATCCAAGAATCAAAACACTGCAGCTTTAGAATGGTTTAGACATATCCCATGACGGATCCATGGTGCTGGTAGAAAAATGCTAACATAAAGGGGGTATTTCTTGATGGGATCCATGGCACACCATATATAGCACCGTTAGGATCCGTCATGGCTATGGAATCATATGGAATGCTCATCCCAATGCTGGGGCTTAGAAAGACCACATCTCCACAAGATCCAAGAAATTGCCCCACAGCCTTCCACTTTCGGGCGCTGAAGGCACAGAACTCCTCGAAAAGTTCATGGTCTCGAAGATCCAACCTGCAGGTTGCAACTGGGGCCATGGGGTGAAACATCTTGGAAAGTCTCCTGAAACAGAAGCGTAGCAGCTTAGCTTGGAAACTCCAAGGGGGACACATGCAGAAACTTTTGAGACCCAGGAGCCCTGAAGTTCACCACGAAAGTTCTTGAGAATTCCACAATAAATGTGCGTTTCTGCGACTCAAATGACCACATCATTTATATCAAATTTACAAGCATCGAAGATCATATACCGGGAATGCCAAAGTGTCCTATTTCTTAGGCAGCTTTTCGAAAGTGGCAGTGTTCCATGTCACCTTTAGGAATCAAGCCAAAAAAAGTGCATCTTCTTTAAACATGATACACTTGCTGAATTCATACTTTACCAAGGTGGCGTAAACATCCGTAAAGTGGCGTTTAAAAAAAACGTAGAGAGAGGATGCAAAAAATAGGACATAATTGGACGCGTTTGACTTTCAAAGTGGCATTGGAAATGGTACACAGTGGCGGAGTTGTCTAAAAACAATCGGATACCTGGTTTTCCAACATGTTCAGTTAAATGATCAGAAATTTGGTACTCTCATATCAACTATACCTATAGGATCCATGTATGGTATATATGCTAACATTTGGGGTATATTGATGGTATATGTTACCATATATAGCATACATGGATCCTATTGGTACATAAACACACTTTCTCGACATTTCTCAACCGTTGAGGCTTGAGCACCTTTGTAGCAACATCGGTACTGTTGGCAGTTCCGACAATGGCAAAGCCTTGGAAGATCTTGGAGGCAGCTGGGGATTCAATCAAAGCCCCGAGGAATGGTTTGGGGTTCTGAATGCAGGAATCCCAATTATTTCCAAGCAACACAAATCAATTTCACTGAATGTCTACAAATGTCTACAATATCCATATAATACTATAAGAAGACTATAATTATATACAGTAACACATACAGTACAATTATATACATTTAGATCAGCTTAAGATCAGCTTAGATATATATTGGCTTGGACATGTTCTTTATAAAAATATTCAAATTTAGCTACACTCTATGCATCTCCACACTTGATGCAGTGGCAACTTCCCCCATCATTTGGGCTGGGAGGCGAAGTTCCGAAGGCCACGAGAGATTTGCAACAGTTGACGTCTCGTCTGAGGGTGCGTCATGGCGCTGGCATCTCATCCCATGGCAGCCGCGCCCGCAGAGATTTAGGAAATTCTAGTGTTGAAGTAGCTGAATTTTGGGAGAAAGTTCTGATGCAGGTCACATTGGTCACATCTCTCTATTTACAATATAAATCCAATATATGGATATCTATAAATGTATATATATATATATAGTAATTATATATATATGATAGATGGGGTGTACATGTTCATGTCGAAGAAGAGCTCCATTAAGTTCCATTGTGTTAGCGTTATATATCTATTGGGATCTTCTGACATGGAATCAGCATTGCTGCAGCAACATCGGTCCATCGGTCAGTTCGGAGACTCCAGTTACTGATAAGGACCATGGTTTTGAGACTACTTGAATCATGGAGTTTCAAGTACTTGGCATGCCTCTCCCAGCACACCCAACAAAATTGGACCCCTATGCCTTCAAATCTGCTGGACCTGAACTACAATAACCACATATCTCCAAAATTGGCGAAGAACCGCATGCTCTGTCCCATTCTTTTGACTCTCTTGCTGCTAGTTGGATCTAGTTGGCGGGTTGACGGGTACAAGCCTTCGGAGACGGCGGAGCCTCATTGCTTCCACGAGAAGGGCCATTCGCCGATCCTCTTCGGAAAGCTCCAATGGCTCTACCGGTGGATATCGTTCACCTTTCAACCATTCAGAGGATTCTGAGCTCGCTTCCTCGGACTCTGAATTGTATTCCACCTTGACTTCCTCCACCTTGCTTGCCTTGCCTTTGCTCTTGCTGTTCGCCTTCGCTTTGGCTTTGGACTTGGCTTTGGCCTTGGCCATCTTGGCTTTTGGCTCTGCCTTCGCCTCTGCCTTCGCCTTGGCTTTGGGCTCCACTTTTACCGTGGCCTTGGCCTTGGCCTTTGCCTTGGCATTTGCCTTGGCCTTTGCCTTGGCCTTTCCTTTGGGAGCTCCCTTGGCCTTTGCTTTTGGGGCTGCCTTGGCCTTGGCCTTTGACTTTGCCTGGGCCTTTGACTTCGCCTTGGCTTTGGGACCGATGCCTTTCGCCGTCTTGGCAAGGACCTTGTTGATGCGTGTAAGATGTCTGTCAGCCATTTTGTCACCAGTTGTAAGTCTCTTTATGCCACGTCTTTGGCCATCAGGTTGGTCTTCCACGGTCAGCTTCACTACGAAGTCACTGGCCACAAGAGAGGAACGATGACGGTCCCTCCTTTTGCGCGAAAAAACTCGCGCACGAGTTGCAAGCAGTACATCCTACAGCTGGTGCTTGGATGGGGTTACCATGGCATTCGCCCTTGCAACAATCCATTGATACCAATCATGATGCCAGTGTTTGTTTATAGTCACAGTTTAGCCGTGCGTATCACAGGAGCCCTTATTATAATCCAGAAATGATCTTGTTGTATCTGACATTATCAGCTAGTCATAGCTAGTCCACAATTCATGACCTCCAAAGCTCAACATGCATCGCTCAACTTGCGGAGGGAACCCAAAAACGTCAGGGCTCATGGGAATCGAAACAGTGACTCCTCCCCAACCACAGTGCCACAATTGAGAACCAATCAGGGCTTATCACGGCGACTCTTAGGATTCCCATGGCCGATCTCATCCATATCCCAGTCGCATAAAGTCGGCTCTGTTCAGGAAACAGCTTGTGGAAGCGACTGTAGATTTGGCCGTGGTTTCTGGTTGGAACTTCAGAACGGATCATACTCCAGTTGCCGGGGCCATACTTCCTGCCAGGAGATGACAGCAGTGTTCAACAGGAAGGAAGTTTCAATGCTTAGATAAAAGTCATTATAAAAGACACAAAAATCTCAGAGGCTTGTTGTGAAGATCCTAAGATGATCGGAATGACTTCAGAGCACAATCATGTAGTCCAGTCTATATCCAGTGGCATAGCGCTATACCGAATTTCAGATCAAAAGAACTTCGCAATACTTCGCAACGGGAAGGCATCCAATTGAGAAACTACTTGGTTCCACTCCAGCGCCCTTTCATTTCACATAAGTTCCTTCAATGGCAGCCTTGTGTCTACGTAACGACAGCCAGGCCAGGCCGACACGACAGCCAGACTGAGAAAGGGACAGCGCAAGACATGTAGGCCATGTATATCATGTAATTCGATATCAAATATAGACAATTACATATTATAATTAATATTTATAAATATTGATAATATATATATACACATGTATATATATATCATATTGTATAATATATGAGCAGTTAGATTGTTGTTAATGTCATGTAGAATTCTCCGGTAAAATCACTCCTTAATCAAAATCCAAGTTTCGCAACAGCCTTCCGGAACGCATCGTCTTCCTCACTGCTCCACTCTCCAGCCCGACCCTGATTTTGTTCCCATTTGTAGTAGAGGTCAGCAGGATCTCTCTCGGGAACATGGCGACCTGGACGCTTGCAACGTCGTCATGTCGTTGGGGAAAAACCACCACAAGTCAAATGGCACTTCCCAAACTATACTGTACACATATTAAATATTATTAAATCACAATAAATCACATATACATAATATATCACCTGTCATATAGTGTGTAAATATACAACATGTATAGAGATGTATAGAGTATGACGTGTATGAATGTGTATAATATGCCTAAAGTAAGTGAAAATGTGATGTCATGGTGACGTCCTCAAAAGCCATTTTTTCCGGAAGAAAATCCTGGCCCGCCAAAGGCCCACCGGACCTAGCATTTTCCAGTCACTGCAGCCAGGTCCATATATCCTTGCCATGGAGCGGACTTTGAAGATGGAGGGGAAATCGCTTCCACGAAACAAAGCCTGAAAATAGAAAAGACGATGCTCTGCCAATAAGGCAGTGAATGTGTCTATATCATGGAGTACCTGAAGAATTGTTTTCGCTAATTCCAACAACATCAAATTAACACAAAAGCCCGTGCTTTCGGCGCATTTGCTAAGTTTCTGCTCGCTGCTCGTTGGCCATATTTGTGTGCTTTTTACAAAAAGGTGCGCGGTTCAACATTGGCTGGAATGGCTTGCCATACAAAAATTAGTACACTTTATGAAATTGCGCTCGGTTGCGCCAAATCGCCCCCCCGGTCACGCCAATGATCCAGAATTTTCCTGCCAAACTTCGAAATGACAATTTCTCCCCGTTTCGGCAAATTGCGCGCATTTTGTGAATATGAGGTCGGTTGACATTTTCGTACAATTTTTGGGATTGAACAACACTTATATTAATTTACGGTTGAAATTCCATTTCAAGTTGCGGATTCGTTCACGAAGACTCAACCATACAATATCATACAATCCATCCCATTATATACCCATTATATACATTTATATACCCATTATATACCAATTATATACCCACTATATCCCTATCATTATCCCATATGGCCATGAAGCCATATATCAATCATACAATCCATTCTCCAACCTGGCAAGCAACTCGAGGGCCAGATCCAAAGACCTTTGCTGCTTTTCAGACCAAGGAAGTGACGATTGCTGATAGATGTTCTGCTTCCATTTCCTTAGTCGAAAAAAATCGACTTCCGGAACTTCCGGGACATTGGGCGGACCCAACAACGGACTGCGTTGGATTCACAGAAATCGTAGCGATTTCTGCTCAAAAACAATCTCAGGCACTACATCTCTAAATGACTTGAATCCCTGGGTACTTTATACTTGAGGTTTAAAAATGGTTTAACAAATGCAAAAAGACTTACTCAGCAAATCACCAGGTTTCGCCAGCGTGCCTGAAACGTTGAAGGTGGATTTCCCTGGGCCTAGCCTGCTCACGATAGTTTGAAGAGGGAGCCGGCTCCCTTGGGTGTCATGGAAGTAGCCAAGCTCGCGGACACTTCGCCTCAAGGCCTCCATCTGCTCTTCGGACCAACCAGCCTCTGCCATGGGGGATGGGGCCTGTAAACAGCTTGTAACATCTTCATTCCAAACGACTTCATAGAAAGCATTTAGGAGCGAAACACGTTATAAATTGGAGTTCATGATGGTTCATCCCAAGCGCACATTGGCTGAACAAACTGGGGACCACACCTTGAGAATTGCATTGTTTAGACATCTTTGATATCTTGAGAAACATCGCCAAGCAGTTCTCCAGCTGGGCATGTGTTTTGCTATCACATCCCAGTCATAGCCCTCATAGCGTGTCGACAGCTTGATGAGGCTTGCGTCCTGCAGACAGCCAACGGCCAGAAACCAATCAAGGTGACCTTTCAGCCGGAAAGACTCCCCAAAATCTCGGAGAAAATTCATACCAGTCCGAAGCCATTGACTCAAAAAACGAATGGTTACAACATGTTACAACGAATGGTTGCAAACTTGGAGATGCCATGAGATGCCAAAGTTTCGCTGCCAAACTCGTGTTTCTTGGCTCAGGCTACCTACTGGATGCCATTGGATCACTGAGTTCCTACGGGTCGCAGAAGTTTGTCATGGCGGCGTCCTCTTCTTTGGAGAACTTGCCTTTCTTCAACTCAGGATGCACCTTGTGGAGGTATCGGACATAGCCTTAGTGGTCGTGGTCAACGCTGGCCCCCTGCAATAAGATGAACCATTTCTGGGATTGATGAAATTTGATATCAGAATTGAACATTTCAATTTATGGTCAACCCATCTAAACCCCCTTTGAACAAAACCTCAATGTATGGCTACAATCCATCTAGTAGCATTGCTTGGCAGAATGTTCAAAGCCTCGCTTGGTCATTCTAGCGCTGATACGGTGCCAGTCGCTCTTGTACTCCACATTCGTCCACAGTTCACCCTCAGATGAACACCCACGTGCCAAACAGTATTGAACGATTAGACATTTCTGGATGGGTGTAAAACGGAGTAATTACCACTGGACCCATTGAATTAATCATTAAACCCATGGAAACCATCCATTCTGGGGAGATCAATAATATTCAATAATCTTGGCCCATGATTCCCATACCCATTGTGCAGAAAAAAATGAACAGTTCATTTCCGAGTTTCCAAAGACATCGCCGCGATCTTTTTCTGTACATCGATGAAGAATTGCGGTCGGTCTCGCGGCGGCACTTGCTGCACCTGAAATTGGAAAAACTGTCAACACTTGCATCATCGGAATCTATCGCCATCGGTCAGCAACTATCAATCATCGTGTCCATCATGACCATCACAACCATCATGACCATCATGACCATCATGACCATCATGACCATCAGCATCAGCATCACGATCACGATCACGATCACGGTCATCATCATCATCATCATCATCATCATCATCATCATCATCATCATCATCATCATCATCACCATCACCATCATCATCATCATCATCATCATCATCAGCATCACCATCACCATCACCATCACCACCACCACACCAATGGTCCCTTGAAATTTGGTCAAGGGTGCTTGTCTCTGACATCAAGGTGCCGTAAATATATTATATAAGTACATGTTTACCTTTACCCCAGTCATATATGGGACAAACACGGATAAACGGCAAATATGCATATATCATCATATATCATATATCTGCATATCTATATAAGTCAAGAGTATGTGGATAATTAAGTGATGTATTACATATGGCTTACTCACTACTTACCATATATCTTACCATTACCAGTCGTCCCATCCAGTTTTAGCCCCAATTTTTTCCAAGGCACCTTGCCATGGTAAAGCGTCCGAAAGAGGTCTTCCATGAGTTGAGACTTGACCACCTCGACCAAGGAGAAATCATCCGCCTGCTTCCACTGCGATCCTGGTGATTTTCGTGGTGAAAAGATGTGATTTTCGGACCCCAGGATCCGATTCATTGGAGGTACCCATTCCATATATAAGGCCTATTTTTGAGGCCGAAATTTCAGGGAATATCCCCACAAAATATGGCCCAAAATATGGTATAGTACCTCCAATCAATCGGATCCTGGAATTCCCCTGATACTCGGATCAGACATGATCAGACTACCAAGTACCCTCCAGTAAATTAACAGTTCGACCCTGGTAGTTGTTGGGGTTGGAAGATTTGTGAAACCTCGAAAAATTGGTGATTTTCGGGGTCTATGTTAATTTACCAGAGGGTAACTACTCAAGTAACTACTTAAGTAGCTACTAGTAACTATACCAGATGGAAACGTGGGCTTCTCCAACCATGTGTGCATTCTTTTGCCACAAAAATTGACATAACTTGGCGATAATTGGAGTATCTCTGGTTCTTGGACAAACCCAAATGACAAGGGGGTAGATTTACCATTTCCGTCCAGAAGATGCCCGCCCTTTGATCCAGTCTCCTTTGAGGTAGACTCCATGAGGCTTGATGTTGTACTTTTCCAGAAACAAATGCCGTCTCACTGCATGCACATTCTTTGGAGGATTCGACAATTTGATAGTCGCTTTGGCAGATGCAGATCTCGGAGCTTGCCGAGTTCTCGTGGAAAAGAAGGAAGGGCCAGAACTTATCCTCCATGACTTTGATCTTTTGAACATGATGAAGCGATTCATGACTCATGACGTGTCCCCAGGATGACTACAAGGAGTACAGTACATGAAGAGTTTGAACTGATGGGAGGATGTCAGCTGTAGCATTCTTACAACGGTCTAAATTCAAAAAGTGGGAGTGTGGGACCACTTATCTGAGCTGTTACATATGGATAAGGTCTATATAATGTATGTCTTGTGATGTCTTGTCCAAGTGTTAAATTTTCAATCTGTCGAATTTCCGGATACAACTTTGATACAGTGACACACACACACATGTAAAAACACGGAATCAGGCCACACAAAAAACCCTCAAAATCTGTACATAATCACAACAAAGTCCAGAAAGAAAGCTGGTATCAATTGCTGACAATGCCAGGAATTGGCCGACTTTGGATAGTTGGGCCCTCCAACCGTGGCCCTCGCAAAGCACTTCGATTCTGTTCACAAACCTCCCGTGGCAAGTGCCTGTCCTGAGTTCAGCAGGAACCTGCAACCTAGTACGACCAATAGTCTTCAAATTCTTCAAGTTGTTCTTCTCGTCCATCTCCTGCTGTTCGAGTTCTTCGATTTTCCTCTTGATTTCGCTTTGTATGGATCTATTCCTCGGCTGGAGCATCAAAGCCAACAAGGCACTTAGGGGTTGACTTGTTGAAAATCTGACCTCTGACCTCTGGACTATTTGCCAAATCTGGATTGATTTTATTTAGGTTTTGCAAACAAAAATGCAAAATGCAATTTATCTCAATTTTCTGCCGCTCACAACAGTCCTCTCCCTTTGGTTTTCACAAGAAAGGCGTTCCCTAAAATCCTTTATCGACAAATGAAATGGGGCCGGGCACGTGTTGCTGGATGTGTTTGAGTTTGGAGGGATTGAATCAATGTCATGTCACAATGTCCGACACTCGAAATACCAAGGGCCGAGGGTCTGGCAAAGAAGCGCTGCAGCGGCACGTTGACCCTCATCGTCGGAATCAGAATCCTCATCGTATTCGAATTTCTCTGACTTGATGTCTGCGTCGCTGAGCTTCTCCTCCTCACTTTGATCCCCTGGTTCAGTCTTGGCCTCTTCTGACATGGCTCCCATTATATAAATGCAGCCGGTCCCACAACTATTGTGATGATGTGAAGTGTTTGTTTTGCGTTTCGACACATTCGCAATGTCTCAACTTCGTTCCATGCAGTTTGTGCCAGCTTCATTACGGCGGCAAACCATCCTTCAAACAAACAACCCATAAACTCATCTTGAGTAATTTGCGCTACAAAGGCAAGTCCTGACAACGAGCCACACAATACACATGCAATATCTGCCATATCAAATCCTCGTTCTGTCTCACCAAATTGTTTGTCGTTGTCTCTGTTGGTCTCTTCCAGTTGTGTCTTGTGTGTCGTGTTTCGGTGGATGCTGGTTCATAAATTGGTGTCATTTGAGTTTGATGGTTTTAGGTACAGCAATTTACTTTATCTGTCTTTCTTTCAAGACAACGTTTCGTTTCTGTTTTGCATTGACAGCTGTATATACCTAGTAATTAGTAATTAATAGTAATTACCCTCTGGTAAACTAACATAGCTATTGAACATGGCCATTTATAGTGGATTTTCCCATTAAAAAATGGTGATTTTCCATAGCTATGTTAAATTACCAGAGGGTATAAGTCCATGTATGCAATTCTCCAGCGACAAGCTTGTGGGCTTGTGGGTCCCTGAAGGAAAAACTGGACCAAGTCCTCTTGGACAAGTCATCCCGGCTGGGCTTCATGCAGCTGTGAATGCAACCACTTGAAACGACTAGAAAAAGTATATATCAAAAAGTCATTAGAGTGCTGGCAAAAACCATCAAAAACCCCTATGTCATTCTCTTCTAATCCTACTTGCCTTCCGCGCGGTCTTCCGCGCTGCTTCCGCGACCACAGTTTCAGCTTCCGCGGATGATTGGTAAGATGATCTGGTTTAGATTGTTCATGATTGTTCACTGGCACGAAAGCTCTAAATCATCTTACTACGAGAGAAGCCCTGACTTCGTACTTCTACAACACTCTCAAGACATGACTGACTGCAACAAACGCTTAGACAATCTTTTCACTCATGTGCAGCTGTTCTTGTGTTGCCGTACAGGTCCATTCCTTGCGTCCTGTGGAAACACCCCGAAGGACGCCAGGAATTTCTCCATAGTGGATAACAATTGCACCAGGCTGCACTGTGTCCGAGAAGCGTGGACCGAGAGGGCTGATGATGATGATGATGATGATGATGATGATGATGATGATGATGATCATGATGATGATCATGATGATCATGTAATATATCATGACCATTAGTGTATATTAGTGTATAATAGTGTATATTAGCGTTTTTGTGAGGCATGCTCCACAAAAATAATGCCCTCAGTGACTGTCGTGGAAACGTTCAGGAGGTCCAACGGATCAAGGGCACAGTCCACCCTGGTGGTGAAACGCCATCGGGCCGCCGGGCCATCGTGCTCTGGTTGGACTGGAGGATGTTCTATCACTGGATTTGGCAAGGAAATTACAGCTGTATATACCAAGCTGTATATACCAAGTAGTTAGTAATTAATAGTAATTACCCTCTGGTAAACTAACATAGCTATTGAAAATGGCCATTTATAGTGGATTTTCCCATTAAAAATGGTGATTTTCCATAGCTATGTTAAATTACCAGAGGGTAGAAAGAGCAGAGCACTGTCTATGTTAGCCAAGATGACAAACTATGGATATCTATGGATGGAAAGGTTGTTCAAGTAAATCATCTGTAACTGAAAGATTGAATAAAAAAGCCGACAAGAAGAGTATCTTTGACATGAAAATTACAAGAAGAATCATGGTTTGGAGGATCATGAGCATGCAGCGATTCACCTCTGTGAACCGCCTGTGCTCCATAGGAAGGTCCTTAGAGTCCGTATCAACCTACAAAATTCTGAACATTTATACCACACATCTTCGCCACATCTCCTCAGTTGATTTGCTTTTTCAAAGTTTTGACATATTCTCATCTCCCTCCAACCACTTTTTCATAGGTGATCTGCGCGAGTGAAGCGGCCAATGTAGCCCTGCCCAAGGATCTTGGGGCAAAACCATCCCTGGGAATCCCAGTATGCCATGGCCCGACCTGCCCTGTCACGTTGGAACGGAGACAGACATTTCTTGCAATAGGCCAGCCAGTGAGGCCTGACGAGTGAGCCAACGTACTGCTAGAATTCCCTGGTTGGTAGCACTTTGGAATACTTTTGGTGAAAGATCGGCAAGTTGTTGACATGCTGCAACCATATCCAATATAGACAGGGCAATATAAGCCTTTCTGCTGAAGAGTACCATCCTGAGACATCTTGAGATGTGTTGCCAGTCACTTTTTGTTTCCATGGTTAACTCTTCATTCAGCACCTATTGCCGGCAAAATCAACCAATCACCAAAAAGACCAAGCTGACAAAACCTTATGGTCTGGGGAAAATTTGGGAACCCTCTTTTTACCCTCCAGTACAGTACTCTTAACCTAGCACAAAAATAGTTCCACAACTGTTGGAAGATTGAAGAACATCCTCCAAAATTCTTCATAAATATCTATAAATAAATGTCTATGAAATTCTATGAATACCTGTAGATATCTATGAATACCTATGAATAGCTATAGACTTCTACAAATAATTATCTATGAAATTCATTAAAATTTTCTTAATATTGAATATACATATCTTTAAATCATCTAAGATTAAGGAGATGTTCCATTGCCATTTTATATTCCTGAAGAAAACTAATCTCGGCTCACCTGCTGGCTCCTTGTCCGCGAAGACCGCGAAGATCCTGGCGAAGCAGAAGGGAGTCGAAGACATATCGATCTAGGGAACTACAAATGGATACGCCATGGCGGTTGATGATGGTTCATGTTTGACTGTTTGCCTAATGCTGGTTGATGATGTTTAACGTTTGATGGTGATTAATGGATGTTGATGGTGCTTAGTGACTGATGTTTTCTTCAGCCCATCCCATCGTCTCATGCTGAGTCAATGCAAGTTCCATCCCGTTACCTGGAGAAGCTGCCAGTTGTGGCCTGGGACATCGCTCGGCCCACCAACACAATTAGTATTAGTGGCTGGATTATTAGTTGATAACTCCATGAATTGTTTCTATCTTGAGTATTCATTCAACACAATTCATCCAACAACGGGAGCGAAGAAGCTGAGAGTTTTGTTTGAAGCCCACAATTTGATCTGTGAATTTAGGGAGCTGACACACCGACGCACCCAGCGATGGTCACAACCGCAATTCCAGGCTTCAAACGTGGACAACGGCGACGCCGTGACCGTGACACCCGGAGAGGTACTTGGAGACTTCCCGGTGTCGCCTGCGTGCCCGAAGAGCCGGCTCAGAGCCGGGAAAATCGTAGGCTTCAGTGGATGGTCATATTTTCTGCCAGCCACTTTTCATGGCTGGGAAGTTCTCAGATTCCTTAAAATGGACAGAAAATGACCTGGCGGCTTGTGGATGCTGCCTGTCATGAGGTGAAAACTGAAGAATTTCTGAAGGCCTCTGTGTCTTAGATGTTCATCTGCAGTCGCCACATTTTTATGGTCTACTTCACTACCTCTTTTAGTCTGACTGCAGCAGCTACAACCCAAGGTTGGTGCCTTGTCTCCGCTGCAAATAATCAGCATGCTCCTATCTCTGTTCAGGAACATTTAATGCAGCAAAACAACCAACAATAGAGGAGAGACACTAATTATGATAGTTATTCTGGGATCTTGAACTGAAATGCTGTAAACCAATGAACAAAATCAACTTGGGCAGCAGTGCGTGATCGATCATCCATTTTCAATGAATCTACAGTGACTGTAGAATTTAATCCACTCAGTAACACAGATTCAGCAACCGAAATCATAACAGCATGCCAAGAACGCTACGGACAATGACACTGACAAGAACTAAGAACAGAAACAGAAACACCAGGGTGCGCAGCGGCAAAAAACAAAAGACTCAGGCGCTTGCACCAATCATTTTTGTCCATCCATATCCCATATCCCCACTGAAAGTATTAGAACCCTCTCCTCTGGAGTCAAAATCATCACAAATTCCAGAAAACCTGGAGCTGAAGTAGTGATATGTTGTGGCGTCGCCCAGCATCGGTGACTTGTGTCGAAGAACATCCCCAACGGGAGGCAGAACAGGTGGCTAATTTGAGAACCATCTTTCCATGATGTTCCATGAATTACAGGATGTTCCTAATTTCATCTAATTTCCATATATGTTCCGTATGTGTAATTTCGTGAAATCACCATGTCTTTCAAAATCAACTTGAGGCCTCCTGAGTTTATGTCCGGAGGCTATACTGTCTCCGCTGCTGAAGTCGAAAAGCAAATACAACACAAGACCTATACGATGATGAATTATAGGTACTAAAATTAATATAAAATGCATACTTTGTTTAAAAGATCAAACATGATCAAACCATGAACTACATGACCAAAAAAAGGTGGGTTTTCTGGGCCTCAAATTTTTGACGCACATAGATTTACCGTATACAAACCATGATAACTTCAGCCACTGAGTGCATGCACTCGTCGGCGTGCTTGCCATGCTTGGCGTGGCCAGTGTCGCCGGGCGACCTGCTGTAGGGCTGGTCCTGACGCGATCGTTGTCTTTTCGTCAACCCAAATGGAGACCGGAACAAACCCTTCTTCTCCCGCCAAAAAAAACAAACTGGACTACATTGAACTGGCATATCATGATCACTAAATATCACTAATATTAAATACATATATAATAATATATATAATGTAATTATATATATATTATATTGTATTGTATTGTGTATCATCATATATCATGAACCAAGAATCCAAAGTAGCTTCAACCAGCAGCGAATGGCCTCTTTTGGCTGGTAGCAGCTGCAGCTGCCGCAGAAGCCTGGCCAAAGTTGGGTATCTTCGAGTGGTGGCGAACGATATAGTATGACATCATTGATATAAGTATATGTGATGTTTGCATATTCATGTTGTAACATGAATTCGGGGCACCAAGAATGGATGCTACAGTTACCCGTATTATGATATACTGTATTATGATATATACGAGTACTTTCTCAATGGATCCTATGCTGAAGCCCAGCAAAGCACGTTCTTTTTGGCATACTGCCCATGAAAAGGTCAGAGCATGTAGTTCTACCACCAACCACATTCGGCCCAAAAAATGCCCCGGCAAAGTGGTAATGGTACCTGGTCATCTTGCAGGTTTCAACATGTCGGCAACACTGCCATCTGCTGCAGTAGTCCAGAAAGGGAAGCCTTGTGAGAGGCGGATCCTTTGATACCTCCCTTGACCCTTGAAAAGTGGTTGGGTTGTGTTGGGATCGTCTTTCCAACTGGGGCTGGAAGAACATGCCAAACCAGTTTGAAACCGCCAGTCCACCAGAAAAGTTTCATGGAAGCATGGAAATTTAGGGTCAAGCATTGAACCTCTGAATGTTTCTGGTCGTCCCATGCAAGGCACTATCTCTGTCTGGAGCAAGTATGTGTTGTCAAACTTGTCAATAATAGCTGGGTACGTGCTGGATCACAATTCAAAGACCTCAGCATAAGTTCAGAATGACTGCATACTCTTACAGTACCTGGCATCTGCTGACCAAAGGATGCCAAGGGTGGATACCAATGGCAATCGCAACTTGTCAACTGGACCACACACCAGCCCTTGACCAAACGCTGAGATGATTGATTGATTGATTGATTGAGTGAGTGATTGAGTGATTGATTGATTGATTGATTCGCTGCACGGGTCAGAAAAAGTCGTTATCTACTCTACTTTTCTAAGGTCCAACCCGAATTAGGTCTTGTGATTTTGAATTATGGAGCCATTGTTCCCCATCTTCGCTCTCGCGCAACCCTCCGGCTGCCTGACCACCGCCTTGCCCGCGACAGAGGCAAGCATGACATGCTGGGGGAGGCATCCGCCAACATGAAACGTGAACCGTCACCGAACCCAGAAGTCTTCTCGGCTAAACAGCCCCAGGCCTTCTGATATTTGGGGCAACCTCAAGTCCCCCAGTCTTAAGGATGTTTGTTCGGTCCATATCGGTGCCCAGAATGGGATTGTCTGGCACATGTTTGTTTTACTTCTGAAGTTCAGATTCTTCATGGCGAGGATTCTGCACCAATCTGCACCATGTGAAAGGCCCTAGTTCCACAATCAGCATGTGAGTGACTTTGGTCAAACCAATGGTCTTGCTGCAACACTCCCTGCAGACTGAGACAAGCATCTATGCTGTGCAATATCACCAAAATTCACCAAAGATATTGTGGAGAACATTGTATGAAAGGAAAACACATGAAAAAACATGGAAAAAACATATGGTTTGGCAGCTTAAAACGTCGTTACCTCTCTTGCTCCATTCTCTGGCCTTGCGAGGGAGAAGCCCCTGCAGCCAGAGACGGCCTCACGATTCGCGTGTGCAGGACAAATGGAAAACAAACAGGATTAAACAGGTCATGCAAACCCTAAACAAATGCATGATATGCCAACTGCTGCTACGTTGACCTTGAACATCCATCACCAAGCTATCCATGATGGACCACCAAGGACCACCAAGGGATGCCCTCCGCGGCCAAGGAGCCACGGCGAGGATGGCGATGTTGGGCCTTGTGGTGACCCGGGCAACTGCCGTCGCCGCAGATACTCCTGGTGTTCCTGCCAACTGCAGGATGATTTTTAGCATTGGAAACAAGCCAAACAAAGGAAAATCTCTGCCAGAAGCAGAGATGTGGGAAGTGCTGACTCAACCAACTCAACTAACTCAACTAACTCAACCAACTCAACTAACTCAACTAACTCAACTAACTCCCCAAAAAAGATCAAAAAAGGTTGCTCTCCATACTCTCCAGCCAAAGTTTGGAGCCTCAGGGGAGAGAACAACGGTGAACTCTTGACCTGAAAACAGACCATGAGACGCTGGCATGTCATGTCTGACTTCAAGAGCATCACACCAAACTACGTGTTGCCACTTGGAAAACTCATCGTAACGGGTCACCCAAAACTATAATTTGAAACTCTCCAGAGCCAGTCTCACCAGATTTGGTTAAAAGATTGCAAAAGTAATGTTATGTCATGTAAATTGTAAACTGTAAATGTCTTGATGCTGCCTTGCTGGGGAAAGCGTCCAAATGGACACACACAAATAGGCTTTTTTGGGCAAACATGGTTCTGTCAAGTTCTGTCTGAAAATCATGGCCATAACCCCCATGTCATGGCCATTTCAATACGGGACAATACGCAATCATAGTTCACTTAGAATCACGATCTCATTTAGCATTCGGGCTATCCTACTTTCAGACAAACCCACGTCCTTACTGTCCGTACTTTGAGCGCCTGAGGGACTCTGCAACTGCCTAGGTAGATGCTCAAGTACTTGGAAATTTCAGATCAAAACCATAAGTTTCATGCAGTTCACACAATTACCTTGACGTAGAATCAAATCCAATATCATATGTTCAAATCTTCATAACATGTCTTAACTATTCATTGAATTTATGTATAAAACACTTCAACGGTTTCCCAAACATTCGCAACTTGTATATGTCACAAGCAGCTGCTCCGTCTGGGTTTCCCGCTTGGCTTTGCCAATGCTGGCCTTCTCAGCCGTGGCCGTGGCCTTGGATGTGCCGCTTAGCTGCGCTGAGGAACTTTGGAAGCTGGCTATGGGCTATGGATCAACATTGGGTCTTTTTAAAAGGTATAATTATCATTAATTATCCATATTACGTACAGTAGTGTTGATGCTCAAAAATCGGAAAATATCAATGAAAATATTCTGAACATGCTGTTCAATGACCAAAAGCTGTCTTGAAGTGCCAGGTTTGTCCCAGGTCTGTAAATATTGGTAAATAGAGATGCTCGTACACAGTAAAGACATGTTCAATGACCCAGAAGAAGGGCGAAGACATGGTACGAGCTCGTCACCAGGACCATTTTACAAAGTGCATGGAGATTCCAAAAAGGAGGGTTTGCGCTGTTTTTGATGGTCAGAGAACTTGCAGGTTTAGCAGGTTTGTGAGGCCATGCCGACCAATCTCGCTTTCCAGCTTGCAACCAATGCTCCATAGTCCAAGATCAACGATGCACGACGCATCCTTTTGCCAGTGCACTGCTCAAAACATCAGTGGATCGGTCGGCGTTTTTCCGAGCTGTGCCCAGGGGACTGCCCCAGTGAACACGTCGATTCGGTGAGGGATCGACTGGGCACTGCTCGTTTCACTTTGTACATCTCGACCTGTGAATCCAGGCTGATGGTGATGGCTGCCAACATCGGAAGGGCATACTATTAGTAGCATCATCCTATCATCTAGAGTGACACTATATGAATCCGGAGTACATTTGGTTTGTGATCATGCTCATATGCAGTAACTGACCAAATCAATACTTGGGTAATTACAAACATGGTACAGACATGTACAGACTCATCCAACCTACAAATTGACTACACAGACACACACTGATGATCACACACACACACTCTATATAGACGTCACTAGACTCTAGACACCTCTGCACGTTGAAGGCGAATATATTCTCGTTCCAGCCAGGGCAGGGCGGTCGCCCTTGGCTCATACAAAAGCGCTGCAAATGCCGACGACACAGCCTCCGAAGCATCCTTGGATCTGCTTGAAACCAACACGACACGCATGTGCTAAACATGTTGCTAAACTGTTTTAAACAAAATCATCAATTACAGGAAAAACATGTATATAAATCACTTGTTGATAGGCAGATGATGATCAAAGTGTTACCATGTTTGGTTGGAGTTTCACCATGTTTCACCTAGATTAGATGATCTAGATGGGATTTCTATGGAATTCTAAAACATCACTGAAACATACTGCAACTACATTATGTCTACCTTTGGAAGATACACAGCCCCCAGGACATAAAAACCAATCACCAAAGTGATATCAACGCCAAGCATCCTTGGAGAAAACCTTTCAGAAAGTCTGCCACCCTCGGGGAGATGGGGGAATCGTCATGTGTGATATGTGGGCCTGTCCTTACACCATGGCATCAACTCTTGAAACCCCTGAACTCACATGTCAGAGCATGCTCCAGTAGTGTACCGAAGAAATTAGTTTCGATTGACTCAATCCAAACCCAAACCCTGGGATAGACCACGACTGGCAAATACTTTGACTATGTCAGTATCCTATCACTCCGGAGCCGTTAAGTTTCACAAACAGGAGCCCGCAAGGTTTGAATGTCATAAAAATCAATGGAGCCATGTAGAGTCCTGAGTGTCCTCAGTGTCGTAAATACCAAACTGATCACCTACGGTGCCCTCAACCTCTGAGATCCCCACCACCCCTCGAGAGGGTCTGCATTCCCACTGTCCGTCCGATGAATCGGGAGAGGAGTCGGTCCACCTGGAAAAAAAAATGGGCAAAGCAGTTGATCATAGTTCATTAATGTTCATTAGGGACTTTGCCATGGCAGGGCTTGAAAGCTTCCAAAGGGATCAAAAGGGTACTACAGATTGGACAGGATCTGAGGACCGCCCTGAGGAGCGGGCTGATGTTCCCCTTCTCAGCGATTTGACATCAAAGCATAGAACCAGTTGCAAAGCAATAGACTTCCACAAAACTCCTTGAGTGTAAGATTTTCCGAAAAACTTCTGCGGTGTGGGATAACTCCAACAGTGACAATCACGCGCAGAGCCAAACCATGTCAAACTTGTCCTGGAAACTGCAAGTTTGGAAATCAACACAACTGAGTTGATGGGGAAACTCCACATTGAATAAACACAACTTCTCCAATTTTTCAGTGGCTATCGTCGAAACCCGACCCAAGATGACCCAAGGGTACCCTAAAATTAAATAGCTAGTTGGACCATGTTGGACCTGGTTGGATGATTATTCCCCCAGTCATATTATAAATCCATAGGGTCCATAGGTAACAAACCAACGATGTCCGACCCATCCCCAAGTGGATGTCGAGTCGTCAGCCTACGGCAACGGCGTTCACCGCGCCGGGAACGGCAGGCACCACCTCAGGGGCGACCGAATGTCCTCCGCAAATTGTGAGTTCATGATGATTATATAGTAAATATCTATGAGTTGATATTATAATATAATGTGTATATATATATATATATTATATATTCATATTATGTACCTACTTCAAACATTTTGAAAAGATGTAGATCTCTGATGATCTTCGCATCAATTCCAGAAGATTCCAATTCATCTAGTGCTGAGGTCTACTGCGTGAAAGTTCATGGGTCACCTTTTCTCTCCAAAGTAAACGCTACACCTCGGAAAGGTACTCCGCATTGCTGAAAGGGTGGTATCAGTGATATCTGATACCATATGATACCGTAGTAATCCATAGTAGATATAGTAGTGTTCATGCACTACCGAGCTGGGATGGTCTGGGCAGTTGGTACATCTGATGTCATCGATCTTTTGAGGTCCAACGATATCGTCAACTGAGACCGGGACCACGTGTTGTACCTGTGGAAACCACCCAATCGCACGGAAGATGAAACAGGGAAACCATGGGAAACCGGTGGGGTAGCTCAAAACGAACTTAGATCTTGGAAGTCAAATCATCTACGGAAGATCAGACCCACACTGACCCGAGGCACAAGCGAGCCAAACACCCGGGCACGAGCGACACCGTGACCCAACAGAAACATATTTTCCTTGGTTTCTAAGTATTTGGAATATATCTTGGGTCTGCATGCTGCTTGTCAAACTCCAACACTACGATCTCCAGAAATTCCACAAGCTTTCCTGCGGAGGTGGCTTTCTGGACTTTCAAACAGGCCGGTGTTGCTGGCAGCGGTGGTGGATGGTGACTTTTCGCCTTCGAGTGTTGGACCATGGACCTTGTGAACTTTGGGGAAACACTACAAAAGAGTGTGGAAGAGTGTGGAACCTGATCCAAACATATCCAACCCACACTGAAAGGTCAAGGGATGTCACGGGTATTGATATGTGAGAAAACAAGGGTGCATTCCTATATGGAACCATATGGAACCATATGGAACCAAGTTTGAGTGAATGCAACTAATATCATAGGCCAAAGATAACCAAAGATACAACAGTGTTCCTGAAATCTCCGGTTTGCATGGGTACAAAATGGTACAAACGTGCTCTCTGTTATTCTTTATCTGGAGCTGGAGCAGGATGTTAATCTTGGATTGAAAATCATCCAATTCTTCGTCGGGTGCTTCTCTGGTGAAACCATGCTTCAGTGTTGATGATCGGTCCTTAAATGATTCGTACCTCCACAGGCATGTAGAATTATGGAAATTTGATGAAATTTGTCTTTGGAAAGTGGAGCAGGACTGCAAGACAGAATATGTACAGTAGCAAAAGATAGAAACGCATACGTGTGTTTAAACACAAACTTGTTCTGGCGGTGTCATCCTCCAGCATCACCCAGTTCAAAGCAAAAGCCAGTATGTCTGCGTGATAAAGAGAGGGAGAGCAGAGTGAGAGGGTGAGATTAAGATGCAAGAGACACTCAAAGGACTCAAACGGCTGTTGTGTCCTTCAACCTGTCTAGGATTTGTGAAGAAATTTCGTATCAATCAACATCGTCTCGACTCCTTCACACGATGGCACCATCGAAACAATAGCTACACTAGGCCTGTGGATTCGCATTCCGCTGGCTCAGCACCTGCTTGGTTGCCTTGGTCAACAAGCGTCACTCTGCGGTGAAGGGGAGGGCGAAACACAGCACGAACATCCACCAGCCCACCCTTGACATTGAACATGGCTCCCCAATGGATGGACCTGCGAGAGTCCGTCAGGTTTCAGGGACGTGAGGGTCTTGTCCCACAGAATCTACTACAGCATGGCCTCATGTGCATTGAGAATCTTGTCGACGGCCATCTGCACATCCCAATTGAAGGTTAAGAGAGCTTGAAATGCCGCCTGCAGGGACACAGCAGTACCAGTTAGAGCTACCCAAAATACTGCCAAGTCTTGTACTTACCCATCCTCACCATCTCAGGAGGTGATGGCAAAACTGGCACTTTGCAAAGCACATGTGTCACTTATGTTGGGATTTAACTTATGACTGAACACTTGACTGAACACAAAAACAGCGAAATGTCGCAGCGGCGCCTGGTGCGTGGCATTGGTTAATTCTCTCACTTGTGCAATTTTCCTTGGGTCCATCAGGGTCCATTTGTCCACACTGCAGCCATTCACAACACACAATCGATGCGATTTTCCGGTGTTGCCCCAGGTAGGCGATGACTTTGGAACCCCTCTTTCGGGTTACACCATGTTACACCAGTTTCATCTGCGTCCCTTTTTGTTGGTTCAGTAAAAAGAGTTGAATCGAGTTGAGATCTGTACACCCCGTGTCAGGACTGTGACTTGAGCTCCAGTTTTCAGCCCCAGGTACTCCTCGTGACTGGCAGCAGAGGGAGCCTGTTTACCATGCGCTCCATGGTCATCGTCAGCCAAGTCTATGATTCTGTTGTGATGGTGATGCAGATTATGGGATTCTGTAATATTCAACCAATATTCTGTTCATGTGGCCATTATGAATATCCCTTCATCCAGAATAAATTAGCAGCCAGTCTCTAATCATACCTTCAGTATCCTTCAGTTATGACAGTGGCATAGTGTGCACACCATACACTGTGTCTCTTTCTTTAGAGGTGAGGATTCAAAATTGTTCATTGGCCGGCCTTGGGTGCAGCATCGGCCTGCGACCTGGCCAGGGTGCCATGGTGCTGTTGGAGAGTGGTCCTATCGTCTCCATGACTGACTTGCAGCTGAAGGCTGAGGCAGCTGCTCTGGCTTCACATCGCTAGGAGTTGTTGATGTGAGTGCAGAATTGTCCATGGCGAATGGATCGAATGGATCGAATGGATCGAATGGATCGAATGGATCGAATGGATCCAAGAAACACTCTCTGACCTTGGACCTGAGACGAAAAGCACAAGTGAAGTTGGCATCTCATGTATATATATATATATAAATACATCATATATATATATATATATTATATTATATATGTTTATTGTGTATATCCTGCCTGATCTTTGCATATCCGATAGCGCGATATCCGGTGTGCAAGCTTCTAGTGAGATTCTAGTGTCATGTGGAGGATCACCATGCTGGCCTTAGAGCCTCAGCTCACTTCGCTTGAACCAAACAGTTTCAGCTTCAGCGAGGTTGGTATCTGGGTAGCAACCACCAACAAAAAAAATGCCCTTGGGCTTCTCTTTACCATTCATTAAAAAAGGAAACATCAACTTCAACCTTAGACAATTTTCGACAAGATTTGCAGGATCGTGTCTGGTCAAGTGGATGAGGTAGCAGAGTCTCTGGGCCACTGGCGACACTCATTGCGGGACTGCCCCATGCGCTGAAGTTTTTTTGGGTAACTTGTGCAGTGATCGCTTTCTTCTATTCTTTGTCGACCTAAGAATGGAGTTGAGCATGTAGTGTTGAGTCACTTGAGTCAGTGACTAAACCGGATGTCAGTCTTGTTCAACATTGATTGAGCTTTTTAAAGTCATTTCCATTGGTCTTGTTTTGCCCTGGAGTCTGTGATCCAAGCTTCTGTGATCTTGCAAGCCATGTGCTGCCATCAACTGAACTGAAATAAGTTGGGTTGCACCTGTGGTTCAGCTCAAGATGTATTGATGCACGTTGCATGCACGTTTGGGCCAGGTGCTACCATGAGTTTGAACTTGGCCATGTTCATCGACTATCACAGCGACCGTATCATGCACTGTATTGATTCCCACATCGTTTCACCATGGGTACCTACTACCTACCTCATGCTCAAACTCTTAACATGATAGGCTAGGACACAACAAGACAATTTGTCTGCAGTACCTGTGTGTGGGTTGTATATAATTAATTATGCGATATTAGGTGTGTGACATACACCTCATGCTTGCCAACCACCTTCAACTCTCAAAGGCGGTGAAGTTTAGATTTCTGTGTTTCTTCACATCTCATCCCTGTTCGAAGTGCACGATCCTGCTTTGTCCCCCAGGTCCTCGCATCTTTTTCTATGTGGCTCGTGTAGCGAAGCAATAGATCCTACGTCGATGATCTCTGAAGATGTTTGACTCGATGCAAGCTGCTGCCCATCTGACTTTCACATACTTAGTGATGATGGGTTTCGACATGTTTCGACTATCCGCATACTTCAGGGATCAGCGGTCATATCAGCTACAAAACAGCTCAGCGGTCGAATGAGGATGTTGTCACGTTGTGGTCTTTGATGCCGTTGCAGTTGTAGTGATCTTCTCCTGCACATCTTGGGTCCGGCCCTTCTATCACCCATTCGATATCTTCATGGCACATGCGTTTGGATTTGGTGTCAAGGGGGATCGTCAAAGGTTTTCTTGACCTCGCAGGGTAGGGAAACCCACCGAGACACACTTATGTATAAAGCATTATAAAGTTTTGTAAACAATGAATCGCAGTATGGTCAGCTGATTTGGTGGTCCCACAAAGTATTCAGATGTCATGAGATGACACCTAGTTTCTATGCTGAAAGGGAAGGAGCGAAGGGATAACATTCATATAACTACAGTATATTCACATTATCTCGTCTGTTTGTCGTCCTTCACCAGAAAAAGAATATGCGCATGTCTGGGAAAAAAGATTGCCCAACGATACAGGAGATTTGTTGGTGTCTTCTCACGCAGAATCAGAAACACAGCACGGTTTGCTTTCCACCTATGATATGATATGATATGATTGCATTCCTCATGTTTCTGTGCAGGTTTGCAGTGTCAGTGGCTGGAAAATGCACAAGAGATGACAGTATCCAGCTAGAAATCTCTCCAGTGGCTGCAACTACTCTTATGATGAAAAACTGGTCGCCATCATCCAAATCATCCAAGGGCCCAAAGGTCCCAAAGTCGGAATGCCACAGAAATCCTACACATCCCCCGGGGGGATCACCTTCAAGCCCTGACTTTCCAGTTGTCGCTCGAACTCTTCTCGGTCAAAGCCAAGGGGACTGCCACCTTTTGGAGCTGAATCCGGGAGATCGTTCATTTTCCGTTGTGAGATTATGCCATTTTACACCAAACCTCCAAAATCATCGAACATCCATTAGAAAGAGACTGACTGTGCTCGCATGTTCTGATCCATGCACTTTGATTATCTTTGATTCATGGCTTGGTAAATGGCAATTCACTTGTAAGAAGGATGCCTCTACATCTTCCTGCTGGAATCTTTACATCCAAGTGGTGTCGCAACGACGGGTCCTGGCTGTGTCGTCACAACCACCGGGAGCCTTGAAGCAGCAGCGCAATATTGATGAGGATCACCACTCCAGCACCAGCCAAGAAGGAATCAAAAGCTCCCAGTTTGAACATTGGTTTCTCCCCTCCTGAAGCATGTGGACTTATTATGACTTATTGACAAAGCTGGAAAAAAAAGGCACAGAAACTCTTTGCTTAAAAACGCCAAGTGACTTTGGGCTTTTGCCCCTTTTCTCTCCGGAGTTTCTAGATGTTTGTAGTCTTCCGAAATGCACAGGACTGGGATTTGGGAAACTGATCTGGGGAATGAAATCCATGTTGCCACGTCGCTGCTGATTTGCTATGCACGGCACTAGATTTGCGACTTGCCACCCGTTCTTGTCAATGTCCACAATTGGAAAATGCGTATTGAGCACCTAAATATAGCTTAGAGCTTCAACGGGCAAAGGTGGAACTGTGGCATGTAGCAATATCATGTAATATCTATGACTACCTAGTATGTATGCTCATGCCAAGTCATGTGCCAATTCAGAACAAGGTTGGGCCAGAGGGCATCAGCATCCATACTGTCAAATCCTCCACAGGGCGGCGTCAACAGCAGCTGCTCCGTCCTTGTCTCTTCCGGCTGATGGTGGATGAGACTGGCTTCCCGCCGAAGCGGTAGTCCTTTTCAAAGATCCAGTCATTTTTCTCCTGGACTGAACTGGCACCACAGTTCAAATGTGCGAACATCAAATGACGGAGGATATCAATCGTTGAAGTTCGACGGATCTCTACGAAGATTGGAGGTGTGAGTACCCATAGACACAAATTAATTTTAGAGGATGCTTGCAGCATGTTCGGGCTGAGTGAGCCTACAGTAGAATCTATCGTAGTGATGGCTGGTTGTTTCACATCATCCAGACCTCATTTCTAGCTGTGACTGGCCGGTAGCCCCTGCATCATTGTGGTATCCCGATATCCCTTTGATTTGGACTTCGATTCTTATGGAAAGCACCTAATGTACTGATTCGAAGCTTTCAACCATGCAACAGCCGCACCTCTTTGACAGTCATAGTCCAGCCTCTCTCCTTTGGATGAAATGGATGGCTTTGGATCAAGACCTGGTAGCCTCCGACCCTCCATGGACCCCAAAATTTCTCAACTGCCAAGGCTGCCAAGCTGGCAAATGTATGAAACCTTGCGATTTGCAGCTAAACCTCAGGATTGGCCAAATTGTTGTTTTGTTTCGATCTCTGAAGTTCACACTACCCAATCTCACCAGCTATACCATCTACTGGTGTACCCTCGAAGCATTTCTGAAACAGTCCCGGTGGTCGGTCAAACTGCACCAGATCCTGCAGTATCAACTAACATGGACGTGGCTTTGTCGGAGAATAATAGGATATAATAGGCGTAGCATGCCATCCAATGGTTTGTCATCGTTCTCCCCATAGGCATTGAAACCATCAGGTAACCATCATCAAATTGGATGCAACACTCCACCATTTTTGGGCAAAGCCATGTCAATTTCTTTGTGTTTAAAGGGATATCTCGCTTTGAAAACCATGATCTCCCTTGGTTTTATCATGTTTTATCCGACCAGTGATGAACCCCCAATTAACAAAATCATGATGAACCCTTTTCTGAACCCATGCTAATCGGTGAGATTTAACCTCCATGAATACCATTGCCTAATATCGACCATTAAACAGTATCAAACATGATGAACCATGAACTAACCAGGATATGAACGGTATTCACCATTATTCACATCTATAAAAAAAAAAACTATCTCAGCCTATATTCACTATCAACATTGTTAAGTACTAGTATCAACATGTATGTATTCACCACTAGATCCATTATTAGCATTATTAATAATAAGTACTATTACATATACTATCATATCCACTCTTATTTTTTTCAATGGTGCATTTTAACATCATTAACCATATAATGTAATATAACCATATAATATCCACTATTATATATCCACTATTATATAACTACTATTATATAACCATGATATAACCATATAATAACCCACTATTTTAACCGTTCAATCACCGGGAGCCGCGGCAACGGATCCGCGGATCCGTTGCCGCCGGCTGGCTCGCGCCTCCTGGCGGCAAAGGCCACGATAGACCGAGGCCTTGGAGCCTTCAGCGATGGCGTGCGCCAGGAGCTGCGCGGTGAAGTCACTGGAGACCTGACAAGTCGACCATGGGAAAATCCATACAGAAATGTAATATACAAATAATAATATATGTATATGATATATGGGAAAATTGTATATATCCATAATGTATGTGATAAAATTGATGTATAATTGATATATACACATATTATGCTATATTGTAGATACATATATATATATAATATATATATATATATTATAATGTATTATTATATATTACATAATACATTCCATGATTCTCCATGCGGTGATGAGCGCCTCGCCAAACACTCATGGGCTCTGCGAATGGATGATATGAACTGACCAGCACTGACCAGCAGTTGCCGAGGGGCGTCAGATGGTTCGGCGCCACTCCATGGGGTCCCCAGTTCATTGACCTTCCCAATTTCGCCTGTTCCGTAGTGCTCCTGGACAAATCAAGTTGTCAAAGC